GGGCCACCGGTTGGTAGAATTGCAGATGGGATTTTATTGCATAGGCATCCTCAGTGTCAAAACAACAAACGAGTAAATTGAAAAATCAATGAACATGGGCGTATCCAAGTTCTAGGAGATTTAATTGGTCAAGCCGATCAATATTCACATTCTGCATAATGCATGCAAGTTCGGCAGAACACTTATCTGATTTACATAGATTTATAAATCCAAAAGTTAGTAAATTACTGACCACAACAGGAAACGCATATTGCTGAAGAATATCGAGGGCAGAGCAATGTGTTCAAGCATTGAGCAACAGGAAAGCTGAATTGTAACAGAAGGTTTGAAGTGGCTCTTTGACGAAGTTTGACCCTCGTCTTGCATTATGAGTTGCTATTGGTGGAATTTATTTACATGTCGATACCGGATTCAGCCGAGACTAAGTGTTGTGTTTCGTCATGACAACGCCAGACTGTGTGCCGATATTTTGCTCCAATTACTATCAAGCCTAAGTGTTGCACTTTAGAACTCTCGTTCAATTGATATTTTGACAAATTTTTATCATCGCACTAATTAAGGACGACAGATGTTTGTGTAATCCAGAAATGACACTAGTAAACATTAATAAAACGTCATTTTTTGTTCCTCAATTTATGAGGATTACTTTTTAGTTGGAATTCCTGAATAGCATTTTCGCTTAAACCTTTGTGCAAATAAAGTCCACTATTTCCATAAGATTTTTTCAAAATTATTTAGGAAATGTTGGTTAGCTAAGCATTCCAAAAGCCTTCTTGCAGTTGTTTAAACACTTAGTCTTTGCGTGCTCCTCTAACTCCTGCTTGAACCCCTATGAAGATCGCGCGTAGAAAGGAGTGGATGAAAGACGGAGAAGGATGATTTTAAAATTCATGACAGGAGGCGTTCGCGAACGTGATCATATCTTTCTCCAATGAAATGCCATGGTTCCTGTAAGGCTTGTTTTACGGCCTAACCCTGTTGCTCTATCACGTAGGAATAGGATTTAAAACAACGTGAAAGGCGCCTTATTTGCTAAACTTGCTGTCCCATTTTTTATCCGCCAACATAAACGAATTCTCCAACAGGTCAGGCTAGATGTTTATCCTGCCTTTCCTCCAATGGTCTTTTTAGGATAATGCTACGGCCTCGCTCATGAGAGGTGGTCGAAGGACCACTTCCCCTGCCAATCAGTGCCGTCGTTAAAGGAGCAACCAAAAACAAACAAGGCAGCTTGTGTTTTGCTTGAACGTTCTTCTAAATGGGTCAGTTAGAGTTAACCAGTGCTGTTTCATTTTATCAAAATGCGATTCAACAGTTTATTAGGTTAGAACAGCCAAGTGTTCCCACCTAATGAACGTGGTTATCGATTGTGAACAATAACCAATGAAATATAAGTGAGTAATTGACATCAATCACTCCGTAAACAAGCTTCACTCGCTGATAATTTATCACGAATGCATCATACTTGATGAAGTCTGCTTAGGTCCAAAATTGTGTGCATCCGTCAGAATGTCAAATGCCTTAAAAAGGCTTCCTGTGCATTTAAATTTAAAAAAAGTTGTGTCATTTCCAAAATACGTAGCATAAGATCTTCTTCTTACCCAGTTTTGATGTCAATTACTCACAGATAAATAACGGCATTTGCAAGCCCATCCACTGATTTATCAAGCACCAATTATGCTACCATGTCGCAAACTCCACTGTAGAAACAGCACTAACGAAGTCACTCACCACACGTTAAAATGGCGTTGTGATGTAGCTGGGTTGCGTGCAGTTGTACCGCCGTGAAATTAGACGGTGGCGCACACTGACTGGTGTGTCGACTTCCGTCATTCTACCGTTGTCATGGGCATTTCTTGACCTAATAAAAAACCCCACACTAGTCTATTTAGTGTACTAGTTGTGTTTTGAAATGACAGGAAAAAATTTAAAGGTTGGCAAAGTCGTCGATAATTGGTCTAAAACAGATTTTATTTTCGAAACCATAATCTTCCGCTACTGCCTGCAGCAATACAATCCGTAATAATGCTTTTCATGAAAACTTTCCTCAGACCAGCTTAATTTTTCCCCAAATTTGGAAAGGTCAAATGACGAGTGGACAAATCGATTAAAGTGTGCTAGCAATAATAGATTTGGTAATGAATAATCGACAAATTTAGCAGTTTTCGTCTGTTTGAGATCAAGTGTGGTGCAGCATTGTAGTGTAGAAATGGAAACTAGACACGTCGAAACATGTATTTCATTGGATGCAAAGTGAACGCATCAGATATGGGAATTTGAAAATTGCTAGTTTAGTTGTGGCAAATCGCAATGTTCAAATACCTGTGAGTCGGCGTTTTCTCCAATACAAATCAATGAGACTAAATAAACATTGTGGAATGGAAAATCCAAGGTGGTAACATGGATCGAATGATTGCTTGATTTAAGTTTGCTTAGGCATAATGATGCACACAAACACCGTTTTTAGGTCAGTACCAGTGCCTAATTGCACACCCATCGGAATCCTCATGTGGCCCATCATCGACCACACAGGTGACAGCCCCATTGCATCAGGTCCTATTCGTAAACAAATGAAGCAGGTAGCTTAGAAATGATTTGGCGCAGTGAAGTAGTTCAGCGGGTTTGTCATTAAAGTGGTAGTTAGTAACTGGATGGCATTGTGATTTACATCAGTGTCACTTTTAGTCTTTCGAGCAGCTTCCAGCGTCATTACTTCCAGCCCTTGTCTGATTCGTGGGCATTCTGCTGAACATTATTTTCCCACAGAGGGTGTTTTGGGCACTGATTTTGCCCATCCTTGACTCCGGTGCGACTTGAAGCAATGTAGTAACACTCATCAGGTTTTTTATTTCTTATAGTAAAAAGCAATGTGCCTGGCGTTTGTGGGAGAGCACTAAATGATTGATGAAAATCAAAACACCACGCGCAGAGGGTACGGCGATACTGAATTACAGTTTTAGACTTTAGAGCACCCATGAGTTCCACCATTACGCTGGTCCGCCATCGATGTCTTATTAGGCGTCATACGAGATGCAGAAAGAGCTAAATGCACATGTAGACTCCTACCCTGGATGTGCTTTACTACGTACACCTGTAGCAGATTGTCAATAATTGCGCGTGAGAGAAACTTGCCAGCAGGGTTATTGATTACAATGACCCATCCCATTTTTATTCGTTACTAGCATCAGTTGCCTGTTATACACGCGCGCTCATCCACACAAAATGATACTTGGCTGGCTTAACACTAATAAATGGTCGCACTCGATGTCGCCTGCCTTGCCTCTCTTCTCGGGTTGTTAACCAGGGGGTTGTAAGGTAGTGCTAACGAAGCTAACTGACAGGATACGGCTAGCTAAATACAGCAGCTTTGTAATTCCCTGCACAAGCCCTAACTCAGGATCGCCAATTTTTCTTGGTATTTACGCAACATTCGGGTGTCTTAATCTAGGCCAACCGGGATGCCGAAATCGTGAAACCTCGTAGCCTTCAAAGTGAGGTTCACCAACAGCCAAGAAATGACCACTGAAGGAAATTAAATGGAGCATTCCTTACCTGGTCTCGATTCTATCAAGTACATACCAAAATCGCCGACTAACTCGAAGTCAGAAAGTGGCGCACAACGGTTTAGGGATTTCCATAAGTTCAAACCTGTATTTAAGTTGTACTGAATTCACTACAAGGGGTGAACACCCGGTACCGTGCGTTTTCGTGGGAAACTCAGACTAGCAACATGCAAGTTCTGCCCCACTATTAAGCGGAAAGTCGATATAAAGCCACCGCGCTTACGAGTTGACATCCAAATGTGACCTATTTTTGGCCAGGAGTGTCCATACATACAAAAAACAGGCGCGAATAACAAGTTATTCTGCTGCAATCTAAGTATAAACACAAGCAATTTGGCAAATGGTAAAAAATCCACTGCTCCGACCTCTAAACGGCTGCTGATAGACACTAAGATAGTTAAGAAGATGGCAGAAATCACTGCACCTTTACGGCCAAATGGCTGCTGCACAATCAGGCATGTCCTAGCTAGTAAACAAATTGCCGTTTACCGAGGCAGGAAAGCACTGAGTTACTAACTACGTTCAATCTTCTTTAGTGGACCGTGAACCTATTTACTGAAAATAGCTTCACAGCTGCGATTTTAAATATGCACAATCCTCGATTCCTGCAATGCCCGAAAAGTGTCAAAGCGGCCAGCACGACGGAACGCGAAAAACAAGTTGACCTTTTCACACACAAAAACATCTTTTCGTGGGCTAGTCTGCAGTAATTCCTAGCACTACTGCGCACAGCCCCACGCGTCAGTATTTGCTCAGCCTGTGGCAACACCGGTTTGTGCACATAAGGCTTAATAAAAAGGAAGTAGCCTCCGTATACGCACAGGTCCGAAGGAACTGACAACTCTGATTTAAACGTCGACTCGGCGCATTCGGAAGTCCGCGTATTTCCAAGCTCACGACAAGTCACCGCTGCACAGAACAAAGTTGCATCGTAGAGACGATAGCTGCCTTGACTAAACAACACTAACGAGTGGGTGATGAGGACATTTTGTTGGATGAAACATGCTAAAGTGGACTAGAGGAGCCCATGCGGTAGCGCAACACACTTCCAGCTATTGCTGTTTGCTTCTACATCGGAACACGGTGCCTCGCAACCCTTATTAAGAGTGGAAGTCAGGAAACGAAAGCGCAGCAAGAGATGCAAGTAGGAGGGTTTGTTCACTTCTCAGTCAACGTTCACCACAAAGCACACAAGAGGTACAAGCAATCAAGTACACACATACGCATATGTCAACGCGCACCCATTCACATGCACATACACGCACGTACGAACACACACAGAAGGATCAGTCGAGATAAAAAATGAAAAAGGCGGTAAGTGGTGTCAGCGGAATCCTGCACCAACGTTGGCGGTAGAAAGGTGGAGCACTGGGGTATTAGTGGTAGCAAAGTAGGAGGCGAAAATGGGAGAGGGGAGGGGGAATAAGAGGAGGCAGCTCAAGGCTTAACAATCTTGATAGCCCACTTGAACTTCAGGTGCTCTTGGTCGTCGTCGTCCGTGAAGACACTGGTGATGTTGTAGTGGCCGCGGAACATGACACCAGACTGCACCTCCTCGTCCTCGGAGCGCCACACGTAGGGCGACTCGCGCGGGGCGTAACTCCCCAGCATTACCGTTTCCACAGCTACAAAACAGGAAACAGCTCAAATATCCTTCACTGGATTAGCATAAAAAACAGGTATTTTAGGACAACATCAACACGAAGTAATTAGGCCGATGACCCTGCACAAGCTCTAAGGTTACGTTCCCAGAACAGTAGGTGTTTCTTGCATCTAGACTGACATTACTAAAAACGAATTTAATGGTCAAAAACGGCTCTAAAGGTCCTAAGAATAGGTCGGGATAATCAGCTTTTAACTGCGACCAGGTTGATGCATAAGTGGTTTCCGCGTACAATATTTCTGTTTAAGAAATAGTGAAACCCATTACTGAGGTTATATATACATTCGTGAGTTTGATTTCCGTATAAGTAAGCATAAATCGGCAAATGTAACGTCCTAAACCATGTTAAGCGACAATTTTTATTAAAAAAACCTATACATTTAGAACAAAAAAACGACATCATTTTTTCACCGATATGACAAAATTTGACCTCCACGTGTCTACGGAATACGATCCAATACTTGTCAGAAAATTTGGTGCAACGAATAATTGCTAACGCTAGCCAGAGTTGCAAATTAAATATAATAATTTGGAGACGATAGCGGTTTGTTTCTGGCAAATAGTGAATGTGCGAGCTTTTACGAACGCATAATCTATGTACCAGTTGCCAAAACTATGCAACACATGTGCGCATATCCAATTTACATAAAAATGATGCGATACTGAGAATCATTGCAAATTCTAAATGGACATTTTGAAGTTTTACACTTCATAAGTACGCAGATTCAAGAAAAAGGATTGAACCAAACCTGTCTCATTTAGTATACATTCAACGAAGAACAGAAAGCTGCGAGTCTTGAAGCCTGCTCGATAAGTGACAAAGTGCAATAAGTATGAATTAATCGACCAGAAGTCCGGCAACTTACACCTGAACACCTTTTTTGTTGAACTTTGTGCATACCGAAGACCTGCGACAATGTCGTGCTGAATGAAGAAAGTGATCTGGACATGATACTGGGAGCCCTCGATCATTTCAATTGGGTTGTCCCTGAGTTTGTCCAAGTCTAAATTAGGAACATTTAATTCAGTTAAAAAGAGACATAAGGTGAGACCATCTACATATAAAAAAAATAAGGACATGCAAAAAAATCATAATATACTAAAGGAAACAGTTATGAACTAACGACAATCCTGCATTAAAAGAGCATAAAAAAATGGCAGAAAAAATTATCTGACCAGAGGTTTAACATTACTCAAAAGACAGAAATGGAAAAATGAAAAAGTAAGATGTGACGTACTGGACAAGTCAATTTCATGAGTAGGCCCACCTTCGACAACAATTTCTAGCTTCTGTAATATAAATTTCCTAGGGTCATTGGGGACTTAAAAAATTTAGTCAAGAAAGAAAACCCTTACAGGGACTACATATTTTTGTTCCACCGAGAAGACTTTCCTTATAACGTTTTAAGCTTTCATCTTCTGCATCAAGCTTAACCAACTCATCTATTGTCTTTTTTTCGGGGGCTTTATAGCCGTCATTGGTTTTAATCAGATCAGCCTCGTCACCCACAGGCGCAGCCATAGCGATTGCAGAAATAGATGGTTAAATTACTGCCGGAAAGGACATTGCTAATTGGTAGATTTTAAACGCATTTATTTTCTATATTGCTTTAAACAAAACTTTCCGATTACAATATGAACTTAAATATATTTTGTATCAAGAATTTTCCTTTAAAAGACATTAATTTGCACCAACACCATAACTGCAGTTAAATGAAATTGATTTAAATTAATAATTTATGCGCTGATATCGTCTAAATTCTGTGGACAATGGTCGAGTGAAATTATATGGTGGATATAGCGAAAAACGTTGGCTGCAGGGTTTCGTAAAAAAGCGCACTCCGTATTTTTTGTGATACTCTATATAAAATGTAGCGATTTTCGATAATGGCAGCGCCAAGGATCATAGCAGAAAATTGTGACAAAATTTTTTGTGTGATACCGCAGTTGTCGGATATAAAGAGCGATTGGTGTGCGGGTGATTGGAAGTATTGTACTAATGTTATAAGAAAAATAGTTCCCACAACATTAATGACCTTAAATAAATATTTCACATTGTCAATATTCAGGTACGAGAGTTACCATGTGTCAGATTTCGTTAACAAACTCAAATCTGTCCAGAACTCTCCCAAATTCCAATGTATTCCCTAAAATTTGTTTTGAATTTTCTTTGGTGTGATTATTGATAAATCGATGTAAAGGCGACACCAAAATCAAAAATGCTTCTGTATATATTATTCGATAATATTATTATTTTTCGTAATTTTTATTTTAAATTCTCTGGCCTTAACATTATTCCAGAGTTGTCAGTTCGCGTTCACTTTGCCGTAGTTAACACACTTCTACAAAATTGAGAATATAAAATTTGATAGATTTTTGGGTAAATTTTTTTGGCCAATTTAAACAAACTCGTTCAACACAATACTCGCATTTTATGGAAAAAACATTTTTGATCAATCATATAAAAGAAGGCGTTGCATTATTTGTTTTGGAATCTGGGCACTATATAATGACCGACACCCGGAGGACAGCTCTTACCTGCTTTGAGTCAGTACAGCCCTATTTGTATACACGTCTATGTCATATTAGGATATGGCCGTTCAAGATATATTCATTCCTCTTTTCTTATTTATCATTTAATTTTCTTGAATGCTGATTTCAGTTAGTGTATGCCGTCAACCTATAATTTTTACGCATCGAATTTATTGACATTAACCTGGATCGACTGCTCTCTATTTATAAAGGCGTTGGCACGTCGGCAAAGGAACACGAACAAATTTAATATTCAGAATGCAAATTTAATAGGCGCATGCAATAGCAGACGCGTTAGTGATGCGTGTATGCTGACTCGGCCGTACCAATGACTCAACATTTTCGTTATTGGCTCCAAGTATCATTTGCCATTTACACACGCGTACTCATCCGCACACAAAGGCACTAGGCTGTTGTGACACTACTATTCGGTCGCGTCCTCTTTTACTCCTTGTTCCACGCTTCTCGTGGGTTTCGGGCTGCTTACTAAAGGGTTGTAAGGTTGTGCTAAAATCAGTTACTACACACGTATACATTTGGTGAGTCAACAAAAAGTGTCCCTCGAATATTATGTCTTTAGACAAATCCAGTGGTTGTTGTAGGGTATTAGAAGATGTCCACGTGGACCATCTTTCTCTTAGCGTTAAAACTATATTTTACATTGAATGACAATGGTCAAACGACTAAACAATGCAAATGAATATAAGTATTATCTCTGTTGTAGCTTCACTAATTTTAATTTAAAAATATAACATAGCTGTATATAAATCACTGTTATAATGTGTTCTTTGTTTATTTTGTTTGTTCTCGCTTCTTCCTTTTAGAAACGAGAATAAGTATATATCCATTAAAACTCACAGAGAATTGCTACTCAGGTATTGTTTTCCAGTTTACATACATTTCATAAAGGATATCGTTGCATTCAAAAACTTTACCTCACATAATTTTTAATGCCTGCATATGATCTAGGCGGCAGATTTTACCAAAAAGTTTAATCTTAGTTAATTATATAGGGGGTGACATTAGCCAAGTCTTATGTCAACATGATAAAGGTGTAAGATTAATCAGTAACTACTTACATTAGCATAAGAGTTACGCCAAACTTACTTCATCCTTTAGTTACTTTTTTGAAAATTTGATAACTTGATTTTAAATTTTGCACTTTAATGGGAACTACAATGGCTCTAACCAATCAGGTGGTAGTCATAAGTCAATAACGCGATTTATCTTCGCGATTTGGATTTTGGTGGTTTGCCTTTAAGGACTTGTTCGTGTAAGTAAGGTATCGTGACGTGTAATTATAAGTCGTTTTGCTTTAATACAGACAATTTAGTTTTTTTTCGGCTTTTCATTTTACTTGGGCTGTCACTAAACGGCCTAGGGAACTCCACGGCCGCCACTTGAGATAATTTATTTTTATCCTTGCTTCAGGTCAAGAAATGAGCTTAGTTCTTGATCTGGGATGTTGGCAAACCAATTTTCTTTAGGTGAAACTTTAGTATTACAGACTGAATAAGAATGATAGCCTGTAATTTGCGGGTTAATAATGTGAAAGTGTGCTCTACCTTTTTCTGTCTGTGACTTCCTGATCTCGTTTAATAATACCGTAGTGCCTTTATCAAGGATTTGTTAGTGGTCGGTTGATAAACAAATAAATAAATATTTATGGAATAACTGTAGATCTCGATTGTTATAGCATTGGAATGAACACATCGCCACCTTCCGCGGGAGTGGCTGGAAGTGGGTCAGATTCCCAACTTCAACCGCAGAACACAACACCTGGACCCCAAGAACAGGACGAGTATTATCCTCTTGCAGTTTTGGTTGAGGAGCTACGCAACGAGGATGTACGTTTACGTCTAAACAGCATCCAAAAGCTATCGACCATCGCCCTTGCACTGGGTTACGAGAAGACACGAACCCAACTCATTCCCTTCATCACGGACTCCATATTTGACGTGGAAGACGTAATGGTTGTCATCGCCGAAAAGTTAGGCAGCTTCGTCCCTTATGTTGGTGGTATTGCCTACGCTCCCTGCCTTATCAACCCCCTTGAAAGTCTCGCCCTTGTAAGCTTTACACATACATACATGGGTCATTTGTTTTCTATGTTTTTTTTTAATGAAGGCTTTTTGTCATGACCTCTAATTGACGCGTTTTACAGTGTGATCGATTGTCTGTCATCGAATTTCCTTCTAATAGTTATGTTTGCAAGTCGCGATTTTAGTGGTTATTCGTTTTCGTCGACCAAAACGAAGCTTGAGCATCCTTGCATTGCGTCAAGGCGCTAATCGAGAATATACGGTAGTCAATCAGCCTCGGTATTCTGTTGATTAACTAGAATGCTAAGCTTGCAAATCTAAGTGAAATCACTATGGTTTGAGTCAGAATTAATCAGAAACAACATTTCCCTCGAGATTTTTTCTGATTGAAAAGGCCCGGCTACATGAATGCGTAGTGCCTTCAAAGCCTAAATGCATGCATATTTAAGCTGTCTCTGTTATTTTTAGTTGTACTTTGGTCATATAGCAGTGCTTGCTTTCATAATATTTCTGGGAGTCATTCCATGACGGAATTCACCAGCATGGATTGGAGTATTATCTTAAATCACACATACGCTTTGTTGACGGCTGTGGTTAACTGTCGTTGTAAGAGTGATGTCATATCCACCTCTGCCGCCGCTGTGAATATGTTTTTGTGCTAGTTATGTTGTCAACCACACATGTCAACCTTCATGACTATATTACCTCTAACATCCCTTCTAAAATTCACTAAGACTGTACCCTGAACTCCATTCTGCGGTCAAATTATGCTCTTTTTCAGTATGTCTTAACTGTCAATTTTTAATTGTCAGAGCCAACACAAACGTTACCAAATGCTTCTACATGTTGTTGGTCGTCAATGCTGTGTTATCTCTCCCTTTTGACTGCATAACAAGGCATTTAGAGTTATTTTAAGCCCTCATATTTTTTAGGGTCGACATGTTTTCAAAGCTCATTGTTAAGACATTCGTATAATGAATTAGTTGTCATCTGGAAAGTGCATTGGATAATAATCACTCTAGTGCTTGCCGATTTCGTAATACTCTTCCCGCATTCATGCAAGGCCATAGATTGTACGTTTAGAACGTGCACCATCTGTTCTAGACAAATAAAACTTTTTTTCCTAGTTTTTAAACGCTTTCACAGGTAATGTTACTATTTAATCGTTTGCACGTTGATAGTCTTGCTTTTCCCTCATCCAATCCCACGTTTTCCAAAGGTCGTTTTTACATGATCACTCTCGAATCATGTGTTACCCTCGATAAACTCTCTCTGCCACATTATGGGAAATCTGTTTCGCGTAATCCAGAAGTGCTACATCACCCCCACTTTCTACCGCGTAGTTAATGGTGTTTTGTTAGACTTTGCTACATCATTACTGCCTGTGCAATCGTATTAGTCGAATTATCTGGTAATTACGGGTAGTAATCACTTACTTTTCATAATTTACGCTTACCTCATGTTTCACTTAGTTCAGAGATCATTCAGTTATTTAATCATTGCACTTGCACCCGAAATGACTGCGTTTTAGTTGTAAGTAAATTTCGGGAGAAGTTGTCTATTTATCCAAATAAGTTTATGCAGCCAGGCTGAATGACCAAAGTAGACTTTTATGCATAGGTGGAAGACGCAAGCGTGCGAGAAAAGGCTGTGCAGTCGCTCCGCCACCTGGCACGCGAACATTCCGATAAGGATCTGCAGGAGCAGATATTCCCCCTCGTCCGTCGATTGGCTACCGGTGACTGGTACAGTAGTCGGGCCTCTGCTTGCGGCCTGTTCGCTGTCGTGTATGGTCGCCTGGACTCTTCATCTCGACAGGTTATACTCTCACTAGCCCAAACACTTGCTTCGTGAGTGTCTCCCTTATCGATGCTTATTGCACAAACTATTGTTAACTCGGAATGCAATTTCTCATCCACAACACAGAGATGACGCGCCAATGGTTAGACGTGCGCTGGCAGCCGTCCTCGGGGAGTTGGCACTGGCTATGGTGGGCGTCGCGCCTGAATCAGACGCCGCGGCCGCCCCCTCTCTGGTTGACAACGCTGGTGGTGGATCCATGAGTGCTGATCAAGAAGTGGGAGGTGAATGTATGCCGGAGCGTTTGGCGAACCCACAGAACGAAGGTGACTCGGTTTCCAGCATAGAAGCCGTGGACTCGCCTGCTCTCACGCCGATTGAGGAGACACCTGAGGTGGCGGAAGCTCGCGGACAGATTGTCGCCTCCTTGATGCCCCTCTACAACGTCCTGGCCTACGAGGACGAACAGGAGTCAGTGCGCATCGCCGCCCTCGAAGCCACAGTACCCATCGCCCGCGCACTTGGACCTGTCCTCGCCGAACAGCAAATTATTCCAGGACTTCAAAAGGTCGCCGACTTCAAGTCTTGGCGCTCGCGGTGTCTCCTAGCAAGGAAACTCACTCTCCTACAAACCGTTTTGGGTTCTCGGATCACGAAAAACTACCTTATTGTAAGCCACTTTTATTGTTAAATTGTCTAACTGAATAGTTCAGATCCATCACAGATGTGTGTAGCTGAAGCACCTCGTGTTCCCTAGCGCACTTCCAGACTGGACCTTTATGATTGCAGGATATCTTCCTCTCCCTGCTGGCCGACGACATCGTGGAGGTTCGATCGGCCACAGCTTGCCAGATCACGAGCTTCACCAGTGGTCTTTTGAACGGTCAACCGATCTCTTCGGGGCCGGAAAAAATGGACGTGGTAACGACCTCGGCGAATGAGGGCAGTGAGGGTGAGGTGGAGGACCCTTCAACGCCCAAAGCTCTCGGAGACGCGGAGGCCTTCATCGTGCAGCGCCTGCTGCCAGCGATCTCCGACCTCAACTCCGACTCCAACGTTCACGTCAAGTCAAAACTTGGTCTTGCTGTTCTCGGATTGGCTCCTCTTCTGGGTCGCGAGTTAACTGTCACCCACTTGCTGCCCATCATCCTTGCCCAGCTCAAGGACGAATCGCCTGATGTGAGTCTTGCGTGTCCCTATTGGCAAAAAGTTTGAAGACTGCGTAGATTAATTTGAAAATACTCTGTCACCAGGTTTTAAAGTCTACACAGGCTGCGTAGTGTGGGTTTTCCTTCGCACAGATTTCCTCGGATTACAAACAAGCACCTCACGAACCTGATTCGCTATCATTTCGCAAACTGCTGGTGGTCCAGCACTCTACGCATCACACTGCCTTCCTCTTAAAACACACTCATGTTGAGCATTCCAGTTGGACTGATTTTGGGCCTTCCTGCAATACAAATCACATGTTTTTATTTCAGTAGATGACGCATCAAACCATCAAAGAGTAATCGTAGAAATGATGCTTCTAGTTACATTTGACTTGAGACATATTCCTAGAATTTGGGACAATTTGAAAAAGATTTGTTCTCGTGCTCGTATGGTGACATGGTGTCATTTTTTCAGGGAAACCTTGTACTTATCGAATGGCACGTCTGCATTTTATTATTATTGAGTAGTTCTGCGTCTCTGGTTATGTTAGAAAGCCATTCATGGTCATCCAGAATCGCCCACACAATATCGATTACATGCGGTATGTATTGTACTTTACTTATCACCCCAAAACGACGCAAAATCAGCCCGCTCGACTTGTGGCACATGGTGTGCCTCTGGTCACGACAACTTGTGCATCAGTCAGCTATCTCTCCTCGAAAAATCGAGCCAGTTATTACTTTGACGAGTTATTTTAATGCTACGCTATTGGCAAGCGTATTTTTTTCCGTTTGTAGTACAAAGTGTACTGAAATTTTGCTTCAAAGTGTCCTTATGGAATGCGAAAACTGAGCGGTAACTGCTAACGTTTTTCTGCTGTTTCTTTTACACTGACGATTCCTTCGTACGAGGTAGCCTGAGGCTGCTGACGAAGTTTCCGCGTTGCCAACTGCATGGGCGTAACCGCAATTAGACACGCGTCTTGTTTACAACCAAATATTGAGCTGTGAATTGACCTTTTTTAGAAAACCTGGTCTATTTGTCGATGTCGTGAGACAGAAGCACACAATTAGTGCCAAGTTCGGCAGGAAGAAATTGCTTGGTATATCTGTGGGGTTAGATTGTGTGATTGGTAGTTATGTAGAGAAAACCTTGTCAGCAGTTGACCGTGTGTTCTCACCGAACCCCCAGAAATTTATTGATTGACTTGGTTTTCGACGTGCCTATTCTGATGTATAGGTTAAGCTTCCATGCCCCATATACCTCACGGTCTTGTTGTGGGCCCCAGCATGTTTTCTTGGACCACGCCGGGGCCACTGAATTAACTCTAGCCCAGATTACTCTTTCCTGATACCCGCGATTAAGAAAAGGATCGGAGAGGACGTGAACACAACCGTTTACTTCGAAGCTCAACCACGTTGGAGTCGTGTCGTGTGTGGGGTTTGCGCGTGTGTGTTTCCACCTCGGATGTGTGAGTCATACATGCGCTAACATCGAGACCTATGTGTGGGGATATTCCAAGGTAAATATCCATGTGAATGAGGGGGGAGTTGAGGATCCGCGCGGATGACGACATGCTGCGGAAAGGGGAACCCTGTGTCGGATGTGGAGCGACCGCATTAAGGGGTTGAATAAACACGATTCACAACAGCTCTCCCCCTTAGCGATGGGATTTGGCGAACCTTTTCGTCAAGATTTTGCTAGTGACTACTCAAACACTGTTCACCCTAAAACCTATCACCGCATCACTCGTGTACATATTAAGACTAGCATATTCACTTGGTAGTGTGAAGCATTTTCATGGCCACCAGGTGGCTAGCTGTTTCTGTGTTGTCACTGCGAAGCACAGCACTGTACACATTTGGCGGTGTGTACCGATTTGTCCTTCGCTTCTTGTCGCGCAGGCCCCACGATGGCGTGCGTCATAACTCGAAGGTTGCTTTACTTGCTTTAGTCTCTAGTTTTCTTCTGTCAAAGTACATCGCACTAAGAAGGTTTCTCGCGTTGTGAAGATGGCCTGTTGGTCTGAGGCATCATCTCAAAAGTGTGGTCGGTGGTGCGAAAATTCCCAGTCGTGTGATTCCAGCGCTGTGTGGTGTGATGTCGTCGCATCGGCAAATCGCATTATGCTGATTAGTCACTCTTGGCTGTTTTGAAACACAAATGGTATTCCTTTTGTCGATCTGAACACACCCTCGGACTTATTCGTGGGTAGTTATTTCGGAATTGGTTTTTTGACGTGACTACTACTAGTCCTAGTGTTAAACTGCCGTTTTTTCGTGTGTGGATCATTGGTTTTTTCACCCTCATTGACAGTCATTTTCTGAGGTAAAAATTAACCCAGAATCCATATCGCTCCTCCTCACTCATCGTTCGTCTCTTTTAATTGCCGTCGTATTGCAGACTATGCTGCTGTAAACCGTATCGCTCATTCTCGGATGGCATACGTGTGGCCGATTCCACTCTCATGATCCCTGCCGAATTTGGCATTAATTGCTTGAACTTGCTATGGCATTCACTTCAGCACTGGGGTGACCACTACTAAGCAAGCCTGTTCAATTCGTGGCATTGTTGTTCTCTTGAGGCCACAGCTTAGCCATTCATTCCATAACTGTTTGCACGCTTTTAGTTGGAGCCGCGATGTGATGAATTCGCCGAAGGATTACGGTTCAGGTCATCTGAATGAAACTTGAACGCCATATTGCCCATATACTACTGGCTTAAACCACAGATCTGAATTGTGTTTGTAGAGGCCGATGGTTTAACACAGACATGCTACTCAATACGAAATCATGCGGCTCTTGGGTCATCAAATAGGCAAATAAGGCGAAACAACAAAATCGCTGACCATCTAGGTTTCCTGACCTCGCAAATCCAACCTCCATCTTTGCGAAACTAGCGAAAACGCCACGTGGTGGGAGGTGGAAGTTCATTGGTCGCAACTTGACTGGACACAGGCAATCACAATGTGCCAGGTATCTGAACACGACGAATGATTGTGTCACTGACTAAGCAGTCGGCTTCACTGTTTAGAGCATTGTCTACAAGTAAAATTTGATCAAATTAACGGGAAAGTGACAAATCTCGTGGCATATTTCTCCTCATATCACGTCATCCACTAAGTTTGTTGTAAATCCTTGATGGGTGTGCCTTTAAGCTAACCTGCCTGCGTCTCTTCATTCCCTCTTAAACATATTTTGACGGCGTTGAATGTTGCCTCATCAAGTTACCGGCGGGTCGACACACCCACGCAGATTACGAAAATCGGGGGCGACATGAAGGCTGTCATTCGGATGTGTGATACCGCGGCGACGACACTCGTGATGAATTTAAACAGGAACTTAATTTGTATTGATTTTAAACTGGTGAACAGAGGTACTATCACTTTTACTGCACCTCAGTATTGAATGCTAATGCTCTGCTTCTAATTTATTCCTGCTTGTCGCACCACCAAGATTGGAAATTCCATGTTGACTGCTAACAAAGACTTTGTAGTGGCTTGTAGTCTAAGCACCACTTTACAACCCTCTAGTTAACAGCCCGTAACAACCCGAGAATGGAGAGAAGAGAGGCGACAGTGAACACGACCGTTTATTAGCGTCACGCCAGCCAAGTGTGTGGATGAGTGAACGGATGACAGGCATCTAATAACAGCAACCAATGGAAAGGGGATGAGTCATTGTCATCGTCAGGTCGGCAACCGGGGTTCACTCAGGCGCGATCGCTGTTAATCCCCTACAACTTTGTCGCATTGCTTGTTGCCTCAATCGCGTCGTTGCCTTCCAGGTCCGACTGAGTCTGATTTCCAACTTGGAGACGGTGAACAATGTGATCGGTGTGGACCACGTCTCCTCCAGTCTCCTGCCCGCCATAGTTGAGTTGGCCAAAGTCCCTGTCTGGCGAATCCGGCTGGCCGTGATCAACCAGATGCCACTGATCGCCGACCAGCTGGGCCAGTCGTTCTTCGAGGAGGGTCTGATGCAGCACTTCCTCGGCTGGCTCGCCGACGCCGCCTACGCCGTGCGCGAGGCCGCCGTGGTCAACCTCACCCGACTCACGGAGAAATTCGGCCCCACCTGGGCGAGAACCTTCTTCCTCTCCGAGGTAAGTCGTCGCTCTACCATGGCCTGTCGTTGTCCTACCTCATTGTCTCACTCAGGTAAGTTCTCCTGTCGATGTATGCAACCCTGCACTAAGTCTTCGCTGCACTACTTCCCTCAATGTCCTCAGACCATTCTCAAAATGGCGATTTTCGTGTTCTAACTTTGACCTAAGCTGATGTCGATTCGTCCGTTCCACGATCATGTCAGTTTGGGTAATTTCTCGCAGTTTTTGGCGTATTCATCGCAAATTGACCAAACTAGGTGCTGCTATGCATCTATTGTTTTCCCCTTGACTGAATTTTGCTAGTTTTATCGACCAAATCCACCGAAATTCCGGTTTTCTTGAGTTTGTTATTGCTTTAAATTGTGCCCTTGTGGCTCATCAATTGTACTCCATTCTTCTCTGACATTGTTCCAGTATTCATAATTAGCTTTTCGGTTTTTTTTCAAAATACTCCTTTCTTGGCTTTTGTGAAACTGATAAGCGCCAAAAAGTTTCAAAATTGCTGTCTCCAGTCATGTGAAATCATTATTAGGCCACGTAGATCGCGACTAGTAAACACGATCATCATGCAGCCGCGTCGTCACTGCTTGTAGATTTCTCCTGGCACAAACGCCATGCCCTCAGTCTGCCTCGGGCAGGTGATGCTATTAGGTTTGCGGACAGTCAACCAACGAACACGCTAGGCTTTTTTCTCACAAGCTGATTCGTTGAAGCGGTGTGGCCTATAGCAAAAGCCCCTGTTTCAACCCTGCAGTACGCTCTTTCCCTCCTCTTTTTTGGCCTTGGTCGATTGCACTGGCTTCTGATTCTTAAACCTCTAATTCAACATACTGTTGCAGTTACCTAGGGGGGAAATCGAGATTACTTGTTTCCAACCTATATACATGCAGGGTTTTAAAACACCTTCACGTAGAGGTCAATTTTTTACCATCCGGAACTTGAACTGTGCGTACAGCGACTTGTTCTGCCAAAATGTGTCACTGGAAGTCGTTCTGTAGCCGCCAGACGTTTCCGAGTGGGATTCGATTTGGGGTCTATCATCAACTGGTGACTTGAACAAGTATTTGGTGGCTACGTTCAGGTTCAAATAGTCGTCTTCCAGGACCAAACGCTCTTCGTCATTTTCTTGTTCAAAAGTGGAAGTTTTTTTCGTATTGCATCAGATAGTACGGAAAGTAGGCCTATGGCAGACTCCGTGGCCAGACTTCGTCCCAACGTCTGTTGGCTTCGCGTCATTTACTGAGCAATCGTATTTTGCCTGATAGAATGAAGCGGTGTAGTATGTTCTGTTGTGTGTGTGTGTTCGAGTGTTTTATCCGGTGCCTCTGTTTATCCTTAACTTTGTATACAACATGGAGGTAATATTTTATCGCCAAGACGTCGGTATTTCCGCGATGGTACTTTGTAGTTATCTGATTTTGGATTTAGATAAATGTAGAAGGCTCAGTCACTTCGCTTACGGGCTTTTCTGTTGCGAAATCTCTCCCACCTACCCTAAGTCTGACGGTATTTTGTTTACTTTATCTGCGAACCTGCGCGTGAGAGCGACTTCGAGCCAAGGTAGTCCTTGTGCTGCTCTCGCAAACGTGTGTTGTTTTTCCGGCACCGAATGACGTCCTAACTGATCTGCCTCACACCTCCACTTCTACCGGTTCACGGATCTCTAAATAGATTCTCATTGTGTTACATACGTCATTGTACTTCTGCTGTAGTACTCTCAGTGACCTCATTTCGATTGACGAGGGTTGCTTTACTAATCGATAAACGTGGCATCCGCTTTCAACTGCAAATAGGTACGTAATTGTGTCTCGCTTGCACTTCACTATGTAGAATACGTTTCCGTGAAGCCCTTTAGGGCTTAAACACGCTCGATGCCCAAGCGTACACTACTGCACGTAGATCTCTCTACTAAACTTTGTTGCATGGACGCAATATCGGTGTGATCTTAGTCTTGAGGTTTTTGTCATTTCTGGCCGGGGGAGGGTTGCATTAAATCCCAAGGAAAGCGATAAACCTCGTTACGCGCAGTCCACTTATTTATTTCCAGGTGCATTTTAATGATTTGGCGTAGGTACTTTTGCTCCTAGTTCTCCAAAGACCTCCAAAAGTCTGACTTTCACTTGCCCGATTTTGTAAGACTCCACAAACTTGTAAGGACTCACAATCTAGCCTCTTTGGTCATCCTGTGTTTGTGTCTGTGATTATCCTTGCGTATACGAATCAAGTACGCTTTTCAAGTGGTCTGACTTGGATCAAACAGGATCCCAGACGAATAGCTCATTCTGTTTTTCCTCGGTTCATTTAAAATTGACTGGTCTTGAATCAATCGTGTCTCTAAGCAGAATTTCTTCCTGACAGTATTGTTTTGAGTACATGTTTATCGATATTCCATTGACTTTAATTTTCCTGTTACGTCTGTGGTGCTTAGATTTTCTTGTTTCCTGTAAATCGGTATCTGTAGTTTTTTCCTTAAACGAATACATCGTAATTGCCCTAAATTTTCATTTGAAATGGAAGCAACAGCTTTCGATTTTTCAACTGGAACGTGCTAAGAAAGGAAGCTTTCATTGCACCGGTTACAGTATATTGCAGAAAGTGCTTTTTCAGCTCAACTCAATAAGCTCGCTAAAAACCGCCACCGTCGGTGGGACGAAGTAGCAGATAATTAAATGTAAATTTTAATCAATGTTGTGTGTGTGTGTGTTTAGATAACGCAGCTGTCGCACAACGAGAACTACCTACAGCGGATGATTAGTTTGCAGTGCATTATGAGTCTTAGTCCCATCATCGATGCTGAAACCTGCTCGGAACTCCTCCTCCCAACCGCCCTCAAGATGGACCACGATCGAGTACCAAACGTCCGATTCAAGGTAATGTTACCTGGGCCGAAATTCATGCAGTTATGTTGTTTTCTGTGAGTTTTATTATCTGTATCGGATGTTTTGGTATGTTTTTGAATAACGCTTTAACCTGCCTGTGTTTATAGTCACTATTTTCTCCATCGTAGGTGGCACAGGCATTGGCGAAGGTGGGATCAGTTGTCGGTCCAAAAGAGGTCATGCCCTGCTTGCTACATCTCCTTGAAGATCCCGATACTGATGTTAGATTCTACGCAGCCGAGTCAATTGATTTCCTCAAGAGGGGAGGACAGGAAGAATCATCTAGCGCTACCAAGATGGACACAGAAGGTGATACGATCCCAGCCACTGCATAACATCCAACGTTCAAATTCCTGACTCATGTCTGATCGTCTCACTTGAAAATAGAATTTGCTCTGCCAACCTCCAAAATTGAAATGATTTCTATAAACACTTGTTCAACAAAATTTCATACTTCTTGTTCAATGTGTTTTTACGCGAATGTCAGTGGTCTTGTAACCTCTGTCGGGTACTTATAAGATCTTTGGTTCAAGATTAAAGTAGTATAATTCCGAATATTCAATCGATTTTTTAAACTGAGAGATGTTACTCGAGTTGATAATCTTGTGTAGAGGAAGGCAATGTAATAGACCTCTTGAAATTCAAACATCACTCAAAATGCACCCATGTATTACAAAGCTGAATTCAAAGGTTGTAATAAACCGTTTAACTATAAGATAAATCGATATAATTTGGACTATCCATAGTAATGATCTAGTGTATCAAAAGCCTTCGAATGAAGGAATTTTATTGAATAAATTTGAAAGTGGAAACAGCAGATTTTCCTAGCTCTGGTGTGGAGATGACGATCTAAACAGAGAAAATGGTTTAACGTTCATTGGAATCTATTTCAGTCCCTAAGTGTAGCCCGATCTCCCAAATTACCAAAGACAGGAGACTGAGCCAGACGTGATCTGTGATAGCAGCAACATTCTGATTTCTTAAAGAGAGCAAAATAGCATGCAAGCATTAAAAAAATCGGTGGACAATTATTCAATTGCTCGTCATAATAGTTTTTATGCTACCTATTATAACATTAATACCTAATTATAAAATTTTTATTTCTTCGACTTCTTATTATCAAATTATCACAACTTTTATTGCTGCAAATTTAGCAATTTTAGATTTTAATTTTTAGAATAGCTGTGCATTGTGTGTCACCTAAAAATTAAAATATGAATCCGGTGATTAAGCTGATCATGATTGTGAATTTCAAGTTTATAACCTTGTGCAGGAATAACTCCTACTTCCGACTTTTAGCCAGACAGCGTGTCTTTCTTAACCCAAGTTAACACACTGCTGTGGCTGGTTGATGTTGAATGTCGATAAGTCTCCAATATGAATATGACTGCAATCGTAGGTTTTAATGGCTAAATTCGAAAACACCTAATAGTGTGAATATTGGTAAATAGTTGATAACGTCAGCAATAATTTAGTCACGCAAAACGCATTACGCAGATGCTAATGATTACCCTAACTGCACCTCGAAATCTAAAGTTCCTATGTTCTTGTAGCATTTTATTTTGTATACTAAGTTGATCACAAATGCCTTTGATATCATTCCTTGTTTTGTCTAAGGGATGTTTTGACGGAATGGACAATTTTACCGCTGATTTACGAGTTCTCACGAAAGCCTCTCTTACTTCATCCTCCCTGTCGCAGCAATTGCCAGTGGACGAATCTGCATCATCTGCTGCAAAAATTGATCTCAGAATAGAAATTCTTGCGCTAACAGCTTTTGATCAGTCATCTTTGCATGATCAAAAGTCTGAAATTAATAGCGCCATCAAAAACTTCTTTGGTTCATGCCGGAGATTCCCAAACTTTCGAGAAGACTTTACTCCTCTTGTCTTCTTTGGTGGATTGGGGCAGCTTACTTTCGACTCTCTGGAAGCAAAAACATCAGTCAAGGCTTTCAGGTATCTCCCACATGTCCAGGAACGTCTTTCATTGATCTTCGATATTCTTGGCCTTGACGAGGCTTCCATTGATCAGCTGGGCAATCTTTTGCACGATCTGCGACATCTTATCTCCTTACTGGTCACTACTTCACGCGTGGATAGGGAAGCACTCCTGGCCCTCATTCACCGTGCTTGGCTTGAGGTGGCTGGTCTCAAAAGTGTGCCAAGTACTGATGAATCGAAATACAATTTCAGGAAATCGGGCTTGAGTGGCTTCGTAGATGATGAAGTTGTCGCATTGATTGATCTTTTCTCTGTCGGTATGACAGAATTTGTAGAAGCCAACGGGACAAGTTCTGTACCCACCCAGAACGGTGTCCAACTGGATTCTCTTTCGTAATTCCTCTTTATATTTTTTTCACTGATATAAATTCTACTTGGATGAGAAATTAATGAGTTAAGGCAATGCATACCTAATCGCACTATACATGCACTGTATTTCATCCTTATAGTGGTAATTTTCATTCCTTCGGCAGAGTTTAGTAGGTGTAACATTTCGATAGCCAATATTTAATATTAGTTCCTGAATTCAGTAACCGGGCCAGGCCTTAATTTCGTCTGTCTTATCTATTTTTAATCGATGCTTTCTTCATTATCTTTTACTTGAGTGGCCCTGCCCCTGTTTCAGCGTTGTTATGCGGAGACAAATGGAAGCATCGATTAAAGAGTGCCAGTCTGCCAAAACTGCGTCGATTGAACCGGAGAGTGCATTTGATTTTTCCAAGCTCGAATCCTACCTTCAGCCTGTTTGCACAAGCCTCAACTTAGAAGTTGATCGGGTTATAGAAATGGTATTTACTGTCCTCAAGTCCGACCGTCAAGACGAGACCATCCAAGGCGAAGTTCGTACCTAAATTTTATTGGTCTTTCGGGTTTTGCATCCTATTTCATTTTTGTGTCGAATTTTGCCCTCTTTTAGTTACTTGATTTGATGGGACTTAGCCAATTTGACACAGTCCTGGATCTTATCCACGGTCGTACGCAATGGTTACTATGGTACAAAAAATACCGCACTAGATCCGATGCGTTCAGAGGTCGAGGTAATGGCGGCCGTGGATCTGGTTATCGTAAGAGGCGCGGAGCAAATGTATGCCCCTCCAGTCACACCTTCTTGCTTTGTTTTTGTTGCTTTTTTTCTACATTTTTCGATGACGTACTTTGTTCAGATTTTATCGACATGCCAAATGTAGGTATCAAATGTGGTAACACATTAGTCGAAGTTAGAATGACTCTTATCAGTACTCTTTCGGTTTGGACGTCTTGCGCAAAATATTTCAAACCTACATGAACGGAGTGTCAAATGCGTGATTGGGATTGACTCCTTAGCCCAAAACCTGGCAGATTTCAAGCGTAGTCCTCATTTCGAATGCTTGAGCATTGTATCTGCGTCGAGTTGATGGAGAGCCTCTTATTGGAGACATCCCAGCGTTTTCTCTACCTAACACACGATCCCAAAAGTTAGATCTGTCGGGTTTCACTGATAAATTTTCACACCCAAAACACCGTTCATAGACATGTATTCACTTCGTTGCTGCTACTGTTTCGTCGAAGGTTTTGTCATTGCCATTACTAGTCAATTCTCCTTCTAGGGCTCCAGATTCAGCGGTTTTGGAAATTCAGATGACTCGAAATGTGACCTTGTTAGTCAACTAATCAACGATCCAGGCGCTTTGGTTGAGCAACGCCAACGGGATTTAGATAGTGCGGCTTGCATTGCTCGATCTGCTGCCTACCAGGCTTACGTGTCGGTCAATTCTACCAATCGACGACAAGGGGCAGAAAGATATCCCTTTGTCTTCGACGCCATGGCTGAACTCATGGCTGAACGTCCATTCACTGAACGGTCAAAGGCTCGTAAAGTTTTTCGTCTCCATTCCTTTCTGCTTTGTGCATGTCCCTTTTTACCTGATCCCCTCCTTTCCTCATTGATTTCGGTATTCTAATCTCTTGCTTATCTAGCATGATGTCTGTTCCAAAGTACTTGAAAATGCTCGTTTGCCTCAACGCAGCGTTTAGGTCGTGATCTATAATTGTACTCAGCTTTGCTTTCACCGAATGCCCTAATTCTATTTTGTAAATTGAAGCCGGTGCTGGTCCAGTTTTACCGCTTTTGAACCCCCGGATAAATCTTCCAATCTTTCTGATAGATGGTGTTGCCTTCCGACGCAAAGCAGAAACACACCGACCAATGGGACTCCTACGACTTTCCTGTTCCTCTGACCGATCGTTCGGAGCTGGAGGCCTTGAAGAAAACGCTGCCTCGAGAGGGCAGGTTGGTTGAGATCTCCACTTTGGACCGTGTGGGCCAACTCGCCTTTAAGGGCATCCAGCGCCTCAACCTCGTGCAGTCGATTGTCTTTGAGGCAGCGTACAACTCGGCTGAAAACCTGCTCATCTCAGCCCCCACAGGCGCTGGAAAGACCAACACTGCTCTCCTCGCCATCCTCCATCTCATTCGACAAAACATTAACCCCGAAACTGGTGTATTAGATACGAACAAATTCAAGGTTAATGCATTTTCTGATCAAAAATCGGTTCTCACCAGAGTAATTGTACAAAACTGGTTTAATCTCCTGAGACCAAGCTTTGGGTTTCTATCGTTAAAACAATCATGTCTGTCTGTTTGTGTCTAGAGCGAGAGAGTGGCGAGTGTGATATTTACAAACTCGCACACATTCGATGGTGCTATTATGCTATTTGCCTTCTCACCTGATGTAAACAAAACTGATTCTTGACCAATAGGCTTTTTTTCTCCAATTGCTGCCATTCTCACAGTGTTACTTTACATTCCAATTTGCTCGATATTTCCAAACGACCATGCCGTCTGTGACGTGATGGACGCCGTCGTCGAGCGTTGCAGACAAACTAATCGGCGTCGAAGGCGGCAGCTTTGGCGACGCCGGCTCTGGATGTGCTTGTGACGTCTGTTGTTGTTGAAATACATTGCCACTGTAACACCTTCTCTCAAGCAAGTTGATGGTCTCTACGTCTAAGATATATATAGGTCTAGGCTTCCTAGCGGAGCTCATTTAAATGATCTTTACCGATTAGTCATGTTGAGGTGGGAGCTTTTCTTGTTGAAAATCAACATGTCTACTTGTCTTCCAGCCCTCTTTGGCATGCACTCACCTCAATCTCTCACCACAGTTGCCAAGTTGTTTTTAAATTGCCACCACACCGTGTGACGTGTATTCATGTGTAAAGCACGTTTTAAATGCACACAGTCTCCTTCACGCGGAATGTTGCTTGACATGTTGACTCGCGAAGCCGTAACGTGTAGACCCGCCTTGCACTGTCTTTCTCGTCACAGATCGTCTACATGGCGCCGATGAAAGCTCTCGCGGCGGAGATGACGGCAACCTTTGGCCAGCGTCTGGCGCCCCTTGGATTGCGCGTCAAGGAGTGCACCGGGGACATGCAGCTCTCCACGCAGGAAATTCTCGAAACCCAAGTAAGCACAGTCAACTGCGCAGCCTCCTCCTCCTCCTCTTCTCCACTGATTTCCACTGCCCCCACGATTGAGCCTACTTTTGTCGCTCAGTGTTGCTCCGGTGTGGATTCAAGTTAACACGATGACGCCCATCACTGTTACTTCGGTTTCCCTTGTAGATGCTTGTGACGACCCCGGAGAAGTGGGACGTGATATCGAGAAAGGGTCTTGGAGACGCCTCGCTAGTGCAAGCCCTGAAGCTGCTCATCATTGACGAAATCCACCTCCTTCATGAAGACCGCGGTGCTGTTATTGAGGCTCTTGTCGCTCGAACTCTGCGTCAGGTATACCCCTGTCTGTCCAACTCACTTTGCAACCCTATTTGGCCTTGGCACTTACTAAAGGAAACGTTTTCGCTGTAACACATTATACTTGTTCCTGTACTGGTAATTTCGCTGGGTATCCTGTGTACTGTCCTCGATGCTCTACCTATTTGTCATGTGTCGCCGGGCCAACCTTGCATCCACCCGCTCCAATTCTAGTTCAGAATGTGGAGGTGGCTTTTGTGTTCTCGCAGGTTGAAGTGTCGCAATCGGTGATTCGCATAGTCGGTCTCTCCGCCACCCTTCCCAACTACGTCGACGTGGCGGCTTTCTTGCGGGTGAATCCCCAACGCGGTCTCTTCTACTTCGATGCGCGATTTCGTCCGGTGCCTCTAGGAATGAGTTTTGTGGGAGTCAAGTCACCGGCGGGCATGCCCAACTCGCGCCATGCCCAACAGATGTCCATGAATGAGGCCTGCTACCAACGAGTCATTGAGCAGCTACGCAGGAATGAGCAGGTATTTCGTCGTTGATCACAGCTTGAATCGGTCAATGCCCTTGACGTCTCTTCATCTATTCGTCTATGCGCGTACAACTTCTTATTAATCTAGGAAATAACCAGAACTTCGCTCAGCAATGTGCTTCGGCTTGATCAACCTTCATATTTAACACTATGTCAGAACGGATAATCGCGGTGTGTCTAATCTCCCCCTCTAGTGATCAGCGAGATCAATGAGAAGGGTACTTAATCTTTGAATATTTCTTTGAACACGTCCCTTTTGAAGTGTTAGCAAGGAACTTGACCTACACCATTAGTTGTTTTTTTTAAATAATAAATGTGTGTTACCCATGTAGGTGATGGTGTTTGTCCACGCGCGTGGGGAGACACTGCGAACTGCCCGATGGCTTCTCGACACAGCAAGTCAGCGCGGTGACCTGGTCCACTTTGAAGCGCCTCAGCTGAGCAACTCCGCGGAGTTGAAGAGGAGGGTAAGGTCGATAAGTTATCAGCCAGTGTTTCTTTTTGGGATTTTCCATTTTCCATTCGAATCGTTGGATTCTCGGCTTGCGTAATGTGGTGTCCTCTTGCACAAGATCGTGGGGATGTGATTTTGGTTGTGCGAGGACACTCTTGATTTGGCACAGCGTGTGTGTGTGCCTTGCAGATAGCGCGCGCGTCGGACGGGGCTCTGCGTGAAATCGCGCCTCGCGGAGTGGCCTGCCACCACGCCGGCATGCTGCGACCCGACCGCAGCCTCGTTGAGCGTCTCTTCGCCGAGGGCGCTGTGCGCGTGCTCGTGTGCACCGCGACGCTGGCCTGGGGTGTCAATTTGCCGGCCCACGCTGTCATCATCAAGGGCACGTGCATCTACGATCCCGATCGCTCCGACTACGTCGACCTGGACATACTGGATGTGCTGCAAGTACGTGGTTTGCAGGCTCTTTCGGAGCATCCTGCTAAACGGTGTAACCTGACCCCTTGTACCAAATTATCCACTCACCCGCCCCCATGGTTTGTGTTTAGATTTTCGGTCGAGCAGGTCGACCGCAATTCGACAAGTTCGGTCTGGCCACGATAATCACCACACACGACAAGTTGGACCACTACGTGCGCCTCATCACCAACCAGGTTCCAATCGAGAGCAAGTTCCTCCGCAACCTCAACGACCACCTCAACGCCGAGGTAAGCCCTTTTGCACGTGTGTGTGTGTGTGCAACCCCGAGTCGTCTGTTCGCCTTGGTCAGCCGCGTGCATCAAGTGCTTCTTCTTTTGTTGTTGTTTTCACAGATCGCACTTGGAACGGTTTCGAATTTGAACGACGCCGTCACTTGGCTCACTTACACCTACCTCTTTGTCCGACTTACTCGATCTCCAATGCATTACGGAATCACGCCGCCCATGTTAGAGGTACGCCCCTCTGAAACACCTTAACGTTGTTAGCTCACTTTTGACAATTTCAAAACGTGTGTTCATGTCAACGTCACACATCGTATCGGTCGACCAGTCCTGTCTATTCGAGCACGTTTTTTTATAAGTGTCGGGCTTGGTGATTAGTTACGTAAAAAATTTCCTGGTCTGTCTAATCTTTCACAATATGCCACTCTTGTAATGTTTTTACGCAAAAGAATCCACTCAACTGGCTAGTTTCCAGGTAGAAAGAATTCTACGTGTGGATTTCTGCATGAAATATTTTGAGAGCAAGGCACTGATGCAATAGAAATGTCTTCTGACAAATTTACAAATCGATTGGCACGCTTACCGGTGACTACTTTTCCCCCCTTCCCACCCCGCAGAATGATCCCGATTTGACTCACTTCCTGACAAGCGCGGTTCGCGACGCTGCCAAGGACCTCGATGACGCGAAAATGGTGCGTTTTGAGCAGTCAACTGGTCTGCTGGCGTCCACGGATCGGGGCAGGACTGCGTCGCTCTACTACATCAACTACGCCACCGCCTCTCTGGTCCGCGAGGAACTTCGACCGGTCATGCTTGTGCAAGACCTCATCAGCCTGGTAGCTAGAGCGAACGAATTCGCTCAAATGAAGGTGTGTGTGTGTGTGTGTGTGTGGTTGACGGTGCTTACTTTTATCTCTCTCATCGCATTCTTAGTTCTTGCAGATTTTTCAGCAAATTTATAGAATAAAAAAATGTAGAACAACGAAACTAATCCCAGAAATATTGTCAATCGTTTTCTATGCCCCTGGGCCACCCCTCACAAATTTCCGCAAGAAGTCCGTTCACTGTCTGCTTCCGGCGGGCAAGCAGTGAAAGCCATGTGTTCATACGTTGAACTAGGAGGTAAACACATGTGGGACCCAACTTCTAAGTTGTTGAATTTCTCCTATTTGGTGCAAACGCTTGGACAGAGCTGTTTAATGTGACTCCTAGCTAAGCTGGAAGCTCCTGTTGCGTTTTCCCTGAGACTTTATCCAGTAGAGCTTGCGATTCCGCATCTTCAAACTTTCGAGGCTGCTGTCAGGGGCGCGGCTGATTGAAATAACTTCTGATTTCACCACCTGATACCTTGTGGAATCATCACTGGTAGGCGTAAGCATGGTTTTAGACTTCGTTTCACGTATTTCCGTGTAGGTGCGTGATGACGAGGAAGCGGAGCTCGTGTCCTTGCGCGATGAGTCCTGCCGTGTAGCGGTGAAGAACCCGGGTACAGTGGAGGGCACGCTGACGGTGAAGGTGAACGTCCTCCTGCAGGCGCACATCTCACGAAGCCGACCCGTCACTCACTCCCTCGTCTCTGACATGTACTACGTCCAGCAGAACGCCGGCAGACTCGCCCGATACATCTTTGAGATCGCTCTGCGTCGCAACTGGGCGACCTGCGCCAGCGCTGCCCATCGGCTCTCCAAGGTGGGCGGTCTGTTCTCTTCTCTCTGGTTGCTCTGCTAATTGCCATGGCACTGCCCAACTTGCCTGGATCGCTTCCAGCGGCCACGAAATTATCTCTCCTCTTGTTTTCCTCCCCCCGCAGATGATCGAGCATCGACTCTGGTTCTCCGACACTCCGTTGTGGCAGTTCATTGATTCTGCGACCGACAACTGTCACCTGCTGGAGCGTGTTGATGAATTGAAGCTTACGTGTGAACGTATTCGGGACCTAACCCTCGACGAACTAAGTATGCTTATTCGTCTACGTGATTTGCTCCTAATTTATTGCCTCCTTCTTGTGGTTTGTCGTCGCGCGTAGTTGCACTCGTGTGATTACGCGCCGTCGCATTTTTAGTCGCTAGTGGTTTGCGCCGACTAGGTGCGGCATGCATTGGCGCGCATTTCTGTGCTTGTTGGCAGCGCTGGTTCTTAAGGGCCTCCTGCCAAATTACAATAAGGTGTATGAATTAAAAAAGTCAAATAAGGAAACAAAAAGCATGCACGTCACCCTGACTCGAAGTTGACGTGGCGTGCGTGTTTCAGATGGGATCCTGCGTTACCAGGGCCTGCGCGGCGCGGAGTTCGTGAGTCGCCTGGCAAGTTACCTGCCCGTTATCTCGCTGGACGTGGAGACTCAGCCGGTCACTCGCAACATCCTGCGCATCACCGTTCGCCTGACGCCCAACTTCACGTGGGTCGATCGTCACCACGGCGCCGCCAGTCCCCTGCTCTTCTGGGTGTGGGTGGAGGACCCCGACGAATCGTGCATCTACCACTCGGAGGTGTTCGCGCTTTCAAAGAAGATGGTAAGTCGAAGGTCCCGCGCATCGCCGACTTGCATCTTTCCCATGGACTCGTCTAAGTCCGGCTGTGTGTTTTTCGAGGTGGTGAATGCGAAGAAGGAGAATGCTGCCGAGCTCATCTTCACGATTCCCCTGCACGAACCGATTCCCTCTCAGTACCTCGTGCGCTGCATGTCTGATCGATTTCTTGGCTCCGAGTTTGTCGCCCCGATTCCGCTCCGCAGCCTTCGTCTTCCCCACGCTGATCCACCGCACACTGGTAGGCACTTTTTGTCGAGCGTTTTACTCTCTGTTACGGTTTTCACCCAGAATGCACTGGTTGATTGCAAATTGATTAAACCGCTGGCGCTCGCTGCAGATTTGTTGACTCTGGATCCGTTGCCGGTGGGCGTCTTGAAGAACAGTCGGTACGAGGCGATTTATCCTTTCACCCACTTCAACCCCATCCAGACCCAAGTCTTTCACACCCTCTACCACCAGGACGTCAACGTCCTCCTCGGGGCCCCGACGGGCTCCGGCAAGACGGCCGCCGCGGAATTCGCCATTTTTCGGGTCTTCAACACTGCGCCCAACAAAAAGGTACGTTTTAGGTTGTTGCTGTTCACGTAGTCACCCACCTGCTGCTACTTCTTCAGTCTGTCCTTCAAATCTCTCCTTACAATTCCATCTGCCATATTTGAAGCGTCTATTTCAACATCCTCCTGCACGCGTTTTTGTTTTCAACTGTCGTTTGTAGTGCGTATACATAGCCCCACTGAAGGCCCTGGTACGAGAACGCGTTGATGACTGGAACGTGAGAATTTGGCAGAAACTCGGCAAACGGTAGGTTTCTTCCCTGGCTCAACAGGCTGATATTGCCTAGTTGTGGGCTGACACTCAATCCCCAATGTCTGTGCCACTTATTTTTTTGCCCTTATTAAGAGTGGTTGAGCTGACAGGCGATGTGAGTCCGGACGCGGGGCTGCTCAGAAGCGCAGACCTGATTGTGACCACACCGGAGAAGTGGGACGGTGTGTCGCGCAGTTGGCGCCAACGCGCCTACGTCCAGCAAATCGCGCTCATCGTCATCGACGAAATCCACATGGTCGGAGAGGAACGCGGTCCCATTCTCGAGGTGCGCTGACGCAATTTATGGCGTCTCTTTGCGACAGCCACTCCATCTGCTGGTTTGTTATGCTGATTTTAGGGTCTAGGGTTTTGATTGGCCAATGTGTGCATCCAGTTGAGAGGTGCTATGGCTTGAATGGACAGTTAAACGCAATTGACCATTTATTTGTGCGTGTGAATTGTTGTGCTCGAATTCCCTATTGGCTAAGCGACTTCTTTGTCCGTGCGACGTTACCCCTCGACAGGCTATTAGACACATCTTTTGAACTGACCAATCAGGTGCCACTTAAAAGTGACTTGTCTGTATTTCACCTCAGAGTGTGACAGAATCGTGTACATTATATATAAAGTGTCGTTGCTGGGGTATATTTCACAGACATGTTTGTCATTGTGATGTCCTTTTCATTCGTTGGTTTAGGTTATAGTTTCACGCGCGAACTTCATCGCCAACCAATTGAACACTCACATTCGCATCGTGGGTCTGTCGACGGCGCTGGCCAACGCGGTTGACATGGCAGCATGGCTTCGAGTGCCGCTTTCGCCACTTGATGTGGCCGCCATCGGAAGGGGTGGTGGTCGCGGCCTCTTCAATTTCCGTCCGTCTGTTCGGCCTGTGCCCCTCGAGGTGCACATTCAGGGCTTCCCCGGCAGGCACTACTGTCCGCGAATGGCCCTCATGAATAAACCCATTTTCCAAGGCAAGTGCCTTGTTTGTCGGTAGGGAGGGTGAATTGGTACTCTTTTTTACCTATTCTTCCCCTTCTTTCTAATCCTGTCATTCCTACCTTTAGCCATTCAGAGTCATTCTGCTAGTAAGCCGGTGCTGGTTTTCGTAGCGAGCAGACGACAGACGCGGAGAACAGCTTTCGATTTGATTAGTTTTGCCTCGTCTGATTTCGATCCCCACAAGTGGCTCCACATGGACGTCAAGGAGGTAAGTCGCCGACATCGTGTTGGCCTGTACACCTCAATCTCCATGCTCTGATTGGTCAATTTCAATGTCACGATCACACGATTAACCAATAAGAATCGAGGGTAGCTTGGTGTTAGTCGGATACAGTAGTTCTTTCATCAGGCGTTTTGAGACTGGAGGTGGCTGTTAACTATAAACTGTGACGACATCATTAATCCTTCACCATCTGTACTCATTGTTTGCAATGGCTTAGATGGAAGCGTTGGCAGCTACCATGTCGGACGCGAATCTGCAGGTGACACTGCCCTACGGC